GAGAGAGAGAGAGAGAGAGAGAGAGAGAGAGAGAGAGAGAGAGAGAGAGAGAGAGAGAGAGAGAGTATTTGGGATTACTTTTAAGCTTTTAACTTTTTGAGGGGCAAAAATCAAAAGTTTGTTTTAAAAAGTGTTTGCCTAATATTTCTTGACTTTTGAAGGTAATTAGTGACTCCAGGGCATGAGGCAAAGCCTCATGTTTGCAGCGGGGGATTAGTCGGTGCGCGAAAGCTGGCCCGGAAACCCTCGTTAGGGAAGTTCCCTTTCCAAAAAGTCAGGATTTCTAGTGTTTTGAAAATGGCAAACATTTTTTAGAACTTTATGACTTTTTGGAAAAGACAAAAATCAAAAAGTCACTTAAAAAACAATCTCAAACACGCATTTAATTCTTATTGAACTTGTGATAAACAAAATTATCTACCATATTTATCCCAAAACCAAATGAGATAATGATTTGAGGAACCTATGATACCACAAACGAGATCTCATAAGTTGAGTTTGTTCATTCTAAATAGGTTAATTGAATAACATTTCCAGTCCAGGTTCTTAAATTACATCTTCATCAATATGTACATAAATATGCACAATATTAGAAGCAATAATATGAATCAGAATTGGTTTCTCATTAAGGACATAGTTTTTTTTTCCATATTTAATGATCACCAAACTCATGCAATTTGAGCGATCATATTTCCGATGACTCTCATATCCTCAAATTAACTTCATGAAGCAAGGAGGGGTTACTCTATCCTAGCTCCTGTCGAGACTTGTTAGACTATAAATCAAGGATCGATGGTCATCAAAGGTTGCTGGCGATTCACGAATCTATAATGCTAGTATTCATGTGGGTAATCTGGAGGTATAGAAATGCTAAGGCTCATGGTCCAAGCTCAAAACACACGGTGTTGGCATCTGAGGTACAAGCTCTGTCTCATCTATGGATTAATGCTCGGAAGAGGAGAGGCCAAAATCTAAGTTGGTATGATTGGTGCTTTGACCTAGTTTTAAAATGCTATCGCAAGTTGTAGTTTTCCTTTGTTTATGTTTCATGTTTTGTCACTGTTTTGTTTTCTTATTGTAAGTCAAACTTTTGTATCTCTAGCCCCTGACTATCTTTTTGTTTTAATTACATGAATGCCGTTCAAAAAAAAATGCAACTGATAACTCAGGTAATGTTTACTTTCCATTTCTTAAAGTCAATCTCATTACCACACCATTTCACCCTTTAGTGTACGTTAGCACCTTGGGAATGCAAATATTTAACACTAATCGCCTTTATGTACAATAATTGTTAATTTTTTGGATAAAAGAAAGTCATCACTAGAAAAGAAGGTTTAACAATACTACTTCATCACGATATGTTTGTATGTTCTAGAAAGCTTTGAAGCCTTTAAGAACATGAAGCATTACTAGACGTCGTTTAAGAAAGAGTATGGTTATTTATTACAAATTTTATCTTTCTTCACTCATTGATCATCAAATGAGGTTAATATGCAATTTTTTTATAGGTGTTGTGTTAGTCATGGCTTTTGATGATGATACGGTTGATGAAGACTCAATTTTGAATATATACATTTCCTACATTGCAAAACTAATCTTAATTGTCTAATTTATCCACCCTAATTAAAATGTTATTGACACATGCAATTTTTTTTTATTTTTTTTATTTTTTCAATTTCTTTCAAAGAACACGTTGTTTTGGTTGCTAGATCGCAATTTCTCAAATGATATCGATACTTTCTTAGATGGCTGTTTTTTATTATTTGACTATTTTTTTAGAAAGTAATTGATGGAATTAAAATTAAAAATATATATATATCTCTTTTGTCCTTATTATAATAAAATTGATGACAACAATTTTTTTTTTTTTAAATGCCCGCACCCAATTTAAACAAATTGCAACATAAAAGTTGAAATCAATTCACAAGAAAGTCGCCCTTCGTCTTTCTTCACCGATAAACTGCACAAACCCAGGAACCCTCTTTGAGTCGTGGCCATTTTCTCTTAAAAACCCTAATGCACCCGGGAACATTTTCTCGACGATTTTTTGGGCAATGTTCTTGATAAATTTCAAAACCCTCATGATTTTCTTTTCAAGATTTGATACCCATTGTTGATCTATTCAGAAAACCCCAAATAATAATCAATGAATACCGATCAAGAAAACTTGAAGAATTTGGAAAGATCGGGTACCGATGAACTCGAATGGTCGCTAAATCTTAACGATTTCGAACTGAGGCTAATTCGTGAGATTATCAGCAACGGCGACATCGCCACAGTACTACAACTGCAACACCACCAACCAAAATCGCCAGAAAATTCAACAAAATTTCCGGCAACGGGTACGACTGCAACTCCTCCCGTAGACGTGGCAATGAACAGGGATTTCACAGCAGGGCAATGCAATGAGATGGTGGTTTCCGGTTTAAAGGATCGCCGACCTCTGCTACCATCACTGCCGGAGAAGAGGTACAGAGGCGTTAGTCTACGGCGGTCAGGAAAATTCTCGGCTGAGATATGTTCACGAAGTAGGAGGCTGTGGCTGGGGACGTACGATACGGCGGAGGAAGCTGCTATGGCGTTCGATCGAGCAGCTATTAAGGAACGTGGATCACATACCTTTCTTAACTTCCCGGATTTGATCGGAACCCTAAATGTAAGCCCTGAAAAAGATACCAACAAGAAACTATCGCTGTGGTCGGAGGGTTCACCGGAATCATCAACAAACAATCACCTGAAGCAGAAAAGCGCCGCTGTTTAAACTTTAAATCATTATTTTTATCTGAAAAACAAGTGTGGACATGTAGAACAGGGTTTTGGTCGTATTAATTGTGGATCAGGAAACCTAAATTGAAAGATCAATATCTGGTGAACCGTTGTTAACTTATCCATTTTTATCGGGGATAGCTATGGTTGTCGTTTTTATTTGTTTGAAAAAATTATCTATTCAAATCGAAAAAGTATGCAGGTGTTAAAATGCATATTTGGACTATATTTTTTAAAATTAACTTAGGGCCTTAGTTTAAAACTTACAAGCGTCGTCCCGAGACACAAAAATACCATTATGCCCTTTTTTTTTTCTTTTATATTTCTTTTATTATTTTTAAATTTAAAAAATAAATAAATATCCCCACCCCACACCCTTCCTCTTCCCTTGATTCCTTCAACCTTCTATTCCTTTTTTTCACCCACTCCGACACAGCGCTGCCACCTGCCTCAATGATGCTGGTGAAACCCCCAATCAGTGTTCGATATGGAGACCTAGTACTAATTAGAAAAGACAATATTTAGAAATTACAAATTAAAGATCATGGTAACAGTGAGTTTTGTGTAAATAGTTAATATGGAACTAAGAGCTGTTTAACATATGGAGTTTGGTGACTTGGTATGTGTTAAAAGGAAAAGTCTAAGACTAGTAATTTCAACGACGAA